TTAAACTGCCTGATTACTGTGAATTAATCGTTCAGGCACTAAACTCTTCTATCTGTGAGAAAGTTGACAAACAGCAATAATCGAAAATTGTTTTCATATTTACTATATTTTTTAACATTGTATTTGATTTGACATTATCATTTGAATGTTGAATATAATTTCCTTATTCTTAAAATCAAAAAGTAACCATTCAAATACTATTTCTCATTTAGGGTTGTCGTGAGTCGGCGGAAGATGAGTGTTTTCCTCCAATCTATAAAAAATTTTACATGACAATGTAATTCTAACGACAAAGTTCAGAAAAATCATCTGAAAGATTTAATTGTTAAAAATTAGAGTATAAAACATAGTTGATGTCTACCTAGACTAATATAGAACTGCACAAAGAACTTATAACAACTCGTTCAACACATTTATAGTACATCAATAAATATTTAAACAAAAGAAAATAAAACAATATGAAAATTCAAAAAGAATTTGAATCAGATGAATAAAAAAAAACCATCAATACGGGCAATAATTATGGCATATAATAAAGTTTATACTCATCCTTGCTTGGTGCTTTGGCAAGCGGCACGAACTGAAGTTAATGCATATCTCGCACGAGATGAGTTTCTGCTTCAATGTGTACCTTTCAACGACAACGATGGCAACACAATGGAATTGTTAAAAATATTGTTATTATTGTTGTTCTATTCATTGACTTCTTCAAAATCATGGAGAAATTACAACGTTCAATATACCAATAGTAGTTTGAAGCCTAAAAAAAGACACTAAACGAAATCTTTACACGGAACGTTAAATTTTCATTTATTTTAATCCTTGTTATAGAAACTGTCGTTGTGCTTTGAAAGGAAAGTAGAATATTTTTGTTAGATAAAGTAAAATTCATCTTTTAAAATTAACTTTTAATGAGACAGTTTACTCTTTATATATATACCAAGTATGTCTTTAACATTCAAAGTATTAAAATTAATAAAGCCGATAAAACGAAAGGTAGAGATATAATTGTTCGATGTTCATAGCAGAACTGTCATATATACCTTATTTTGAAAGACAGTTTAGTCACGTATTATTCGAACTCCAACAAACAAATAAAAGATATGCTATAGTCAAACAACGCTAATATGAAGATGAGCAACATAAAGAACAATAGTAGAAAAATGGAACATTAGCATTTTTAATTTTTCCATTTCAGTTAGATACAAGTCATATGCAGAATTCTTTCTTTTTTTTTTCACTCTACTCTAGCTAGACTGACAGAAAAATTATTTGTAAGGATCTATTATCATTGTTCAAATGACATGCTTTCCAACTTACTTGAAAAGGAAGAAGTACATTCTTCGCCGTTCGATTTACAATGAATATTCCACAAATGTATACCAGCATGACTGTCTTTTTTATTAGTTAACCATATTAAAAATTGTTAAATATTAGTTAAGTAAAAATATCAATTTTGATTCCATCTTGAAGCTATAAACAATCGTTTCCTGAATTTTAATCGCAGATTTTAAATGACTTATAGGAAGAGATAACATGATTTAAAGGGATTTATGTGATTTAATGTTGATTATCAGCTGGTTTATATCCGTTGTTGCTCCCTTTAGTACAATACAAAGCTTCTGTGTGGAAAAAGAAAAATGAGAACTATTCTATTAGCTTTTGGAAAAGATCTAATAGTCGTCGTAAATTATGTCACACACTTTGTTTAGTGTCGCCATTCAGGAGTCATACAGAAGTCAACGTGCAATTGATATTTGCATATCTTTTTATTCATTAATCTCATCGACTGCATGGACTTTATTCATCATCATCGGGCTTGCTCGATTAGTAGAAATGAATCGAAGAAGTAAAGTAAGGAACATGATTACCAGCATTGTAACTGCACTTGTAATATGAATTCGACGAAAAGCAGATACGTTTTTTTCATAGTAAATGAACGGTAAGATCACTCCACCAATTTGCCCAAATCCAACAACTAATGCGATTGCCAATGTTCTTTTCATTCGACCACTTACATTTGTTGCTAGCCATGCCATCAGTAATGCAAAAGCTGAAATGTTCCAGAGCATGCGAAACATCCGCCTACATATACTGCTACAGTGCTACCTTCTTCAAAGACTGCCATGAGAACGAAGCCAATGATAGAAACAGTTAGAAGAAATGCCACGTGATATCCGTGCTCGTTGAATCTCGTTGCGGACAGACCGCCTAACAGAGCGAAGACACATGCCGACACATATGGTGGAGTTGACATCAGTTGTTCTGTCGCACTGGTATACCCTATGGTTTTAATTAGGGTGGGGAAGTATGATATCCAAGCTTTTGTCACGGCTGAATTTCCCACAACTATCAGTACAAAAAGCTAAATCTTCCAATCAATAAAAATGCGACATATTTGGCGTCATTGGATACCATTCTCTTCCAAAGCTTCATCAGCATCTACCTCGGTATCGTGACGTAAAAGGTTGGTTAGGATTTCTCTTTCTATAGGATCTAAATCTGTTTAGGGAATAACATAGTTAAAATTGACAGATATTGGTTTTGAGTTACTCACATCAAATAGCGTCCGAGATTTTGTCAAGAAAGAAAAAAGTAGCCATTCCAAGAAGAATGACCGGGATGCCAACAAGAAGAAAGATCCATTGCCAACTGTGTAGACCACCAATGCCATTCATTTTCTGAATGCTGAAAACCTAGTTACAAAAGAACAAGTAAAATGGAAAGAAATTCTTCGTTGTAAATGATATGATCATGACAATAAAGAATAAAAAGCAGCTTGCATAAACTATTTTTGAGAATTTGCGAATGAAGTTAGTGGAGCTTATGGAAAACTGCAGTCACACTTTAAAATTGTTATAAAACTGGTGCATTCTTTTTTGTTCTTCGACTTTCTAACATTTTTTTAGTAAGAATCAACAGAAATCGACCGCTTGCCATACTCACCAGAATACCACCTACAGCTGCTGATAAAATAGCCCCTAAATAGAAGATGACGACTCGCATAGTTCGCTGTTTTATTGGATAAATTCGTGATAAATGGGCTACCATGCCTGGAAAGAAACCCGAGATTGCCATTCCCTATAGAAAAACTTAGTAAAACATTCAGAGATTCAGCATAAATAAAGACTATTACTAGCAGAAATCGTAGCGCCAATAGTTGCGGAACGGTTTTGACAAATCCCATGCCGATACTGATTGATCCCCATGCCAACATGATAATAGATACGTAGATAGTAGTTCCAAGATAGAGATGCAAAAGTGCCGAAGGAATGGAGAAGACAAACTAGAAATGATATAATGATAAGAGAACCTCAAGATCAGGACTTTTGTGGCTTACATAGCCAAGATACACAAGAGAGATAGCCCAACTACTTTCTGTGGCAGATACGTGTAAGTCGTCGTTTAGACTGTTGCTATTGTCATATCCTGTGTAAAAACGAGTATAAAATCATGTGTAATTCGAATTATGATGAAATTTACCCATGCAAACTCGATTCAGGTAAGAACTAAATTCGAGGGAAAAGAAGAACGGCATAACACGTAAATCAATTTTTCGAAAAACATGACGAATAAACTTCGCAGGATACATTTTGATAGCCTATAAATAAAAAGTAACTTCACCATATATCTCATTTATTTAATTTCATCTAAAGAGTTCATAACCGTATTTTCGACAATAAAAAACACCACTACATTCAGTAAATTTCCGTAATTATAATGTATCACACAAGATTTATAGAGGACCTCAAGAACTAATCACTGCTTTGACTCATAATTGTTCACAAAAACGTTTCAAGGCACTCGCACAAAAACCATATAGTTTCTACGGCATAGAGAGAAATCGAAACCGTGAGTCAGAACTCAAGGTTTTGATGGATATTCGGATTGTATAGTCATAATCATGTAACATCGTTAAGCTCTTTCGAAAACTATATCTATGTATACATCTCACGAAAGATTGATTAGCAAAGTAATATATACATCGATTATTTCAATGGTCTTTGATTAATATCAATGTTGGAAACTTCCTCGCCTTATATACTGTCAAAACATTGTCCGTCTCATTTTTTTTTAATTATTTGGTAGAAGATATGCATAAAACGTACATATCCAGGCTTGAATGACGTATGTTTTATTAGAAAGTGTGACTCACCCCTAATATTTGGTTTTTCGTTTATTTATTTCTCTCAATTAGTGAATGATTGACGATGAAATATAACTTTCGTGAAAGATTGATTTGTTGATGATGGTTAATAAAAATCACAGAGTCATTTTCCTTGACATAACGTCTAATGTGTCTTTTTCAATCTTTAACTTATTGATTGATCAAGAGTAATTCAATGTGTCATTTCGGAAATAGTAAGTTGTTTCGTTCACATTCATATCGTCAACACTATGAGGTACTATCTGATTTAGAACTGAAGTAAATGACACTTCTTCATGTAGGAGTACAGATGAACGCGTTTTATGATATCATTTCATCGAGAGATGAGTTTTGGCTCGCGTCAAGAAATTTTCGTGAGGTGAGATAAAAACAGAAATGTCTTTTTTCTCGCTTCGCTGCATCTTGATCTTGATAGATATCTAGCATATTTCTTTTTCACATGCATCCACGTTTGTTATTGAGTTAGTAAGATTGTTGTTCGTTTAAACTCGATTTGTATAGCTATATTATTCAACCTAAGTGTGTGCTGAATGATCACTAGTAGTAATCGATTAGCAGGAAGTGGAGAAACAAATAGTAAAGAAGATTTTTCTTTTATCAGATCATATTATCTAACGTTGATGCCTGAAACTAAAAATTGTCTCCCGAGATTGACACAATGAATGATGTCAACTAGTAGATGATCAATCTCTCCATGAATATGTGTATTGTTCATTGCTAGAACTCTGTTGAAAAATACACTGTTTCAGTCTTTGTAGATGAATTATTCTTGTTTCTGAAGAAACAACGATTACAATTCTTTGTTTGCCATCGTTCTTGTGAACGAATGCAGATGGATTCATCGTTAGAAACTAGTACTCCTATTTGGGCATGCCAAACAAATGCGAATCCTTTTGATTCAAACGGGCCCGAAGAGTGGACAGATTATCCAGCTGACATCTCCCATCATATTGAATGTGCTTATCAGTGTGGTATTTGTGAGATAAGTATTCGAACTGGATATCGAATCGATTTTGCACATGAACGACAAATACACAATATCGATTCATTTCGACAACGTCCTATTCGGCGTCGTTGTCAAGTGTACGATAATCCAATTCTCAACACTGAATATAACCATGATGAAGCATCCAGCATGAATAATCGACTCGACTTTCCTCTTGAATCAGATAATGTCATCGAAGATACACATTATCAGGGCTCTCGTTTCATTATGGATTGGCTTGTAACAGAATTTAAAAGTCCATCAAATGTGACATTTAATCGTATTCTCAACCTCTTAATAAAAGGTATTGAAATAGAAGGAAAGATACAGGAAGAGCCAAGGCTGCAAGAAATAATTGAACGGCTTTGGGAAGTCGCTGACAATAGTTCAATTGGTAGCAACAGTGAACATATGAAAACATTGAGAGAAGTATGTATCACTTTGTACACCGACCACACTTTTCTTTACCGCAAAATCAATGAAATTCTTCGAGATAATGATCGAACTAAGAGAGAGACAATGGCACCTTACTGCTTTCTCTTATATGACTATATCGGTAGGCACCCGACTGATAATGTGTCAAAACTACGTCGTTTGTGTCAAACGCTTCATTTGAAAAAGAAGAAACCCATGGTAGTTTATCGTGGAGATACGGTATCAACAAAGAAACTTGATGAATATCGTCAAGCGGCTGGGAATAAGAAGAAATGCTTCAAATGGTCATGTTTCGTATCGACGTCAACAGACATTAATGTGGCTAGCGAATTCGCCAAAAATGTTCTTTACGAAATCGATCTTGGTCGATACAGATGGAATGATCAATTCGCCAATATATCAAACTTATCAGTTTTTCCAGGAGAAAATGAAATACTTCTAAGACCAGGTGTTCGTTTTTGTGTCGACAAGGTTGAAACACATTCGACGATTGCTTGTGAACTTGTGTTTGTTCATGTTCTTCCATCATACATATCAACTGTGTAATAGAAGAACTCATTTTTTGTTTGTTTAGTCATTCTATGTTGAATAAAAATGTCTTCTACTTTAGTGCAGTTATACAGCCCATCATTACGAATAAGACTGATGTATTTATCGTACTTCGAGTTGAGTATGGGTGCATGTGGCTTTCGTTTTATCGAGAACACATACACGTTCGAATCGTCTGTTTGGTAAGGACAGAATTTGAATATAGCTATTCAGATACTTGTACGTATATTCGATACTATGATGCGTGCTCGAATAATTCATTTGTCCGTTTGTTTCATCCTGGAATAAATCCAGTTCGTTTAGAAAATGTAGCGATTATTCTTTGATACATGAAAGAATAGAAATCTTGTCAGTTCAGCACGAGACTTCGCTAATGTGTTCATATCGTGCCAGATGATACAGGAGGTCGTATATTAGATTGCTGTAGATAGAATGAGAATCTCTTGAGAAGTAATCTGTAGATTTCTGATGACAAGTAAATTATGCAAAACTACTTTTAAAAAAATTAGAGAAGTTAATCTTCCTCATAGTGTTTCAGTCGCATGCATATCGAAAATATATTCTTTTCTAAAGTGAAAAAATCGTGCTTTTATCAGATTCAGCCCTATCTTTTAGCTTTTTCTGTCTATTGAATTTCTCCATTGCATTAAAAACAAAGAAAACAGTTGAAAAGAGAATGAAGTCTTATATTCACTCACATGCACATCCACATTCATAAGATTGCATATCTATTATGAATAATGTAAATTTTTATTGTTTGGATTTTGAGTATTTAATAGTATGCGACCTATTCCACTACGTTCACTTTTTTGGACTATGACATTATCAGTTTGTTTTCTTGTATGAATAATTTTTTTAATAATTTGAATAATCATTCAAACGATATAGAACTTCCACAAATTAAATGTGATTGTCCAACAGTAGCAGAGCCTGTTTCAAAAATAGATGCATTAACTAGTACCTAGTTCAAAAAAAAGAAAAAATGTGAGGATTTTTGAATAACATTTAATATGAACTGGATAAATAGCTGCGATTTTCACCGTTTAAAACAGGACGTAAAATTTCATTGAATCGTGTATACCCGATTTTTCTGACAAGTTTTCTCAAAGTCTCTCGCCAATTTTTTCCAAAAGAAAATTCAAGTTTTTGAATAGGTTTACAAGGTGGAGTTTTCGTTAAAAAATAACAAAAAAAAAACAATTTTTATAAAGACAGTAAAATATGTATAACTGATGATTGACTAAACCTTACAACATCGTACTTACATAATTTGTAGGTCTTCAGTTAATGATTCTGATGCACTTTTGAAAGTGGAAATCGTGAAATTTTTACATTAAGAAATGTTTTGTTTTTAACAAACTTGATCGTAGACTGAGAAAACTTGTCAGAAAAGTTTGATATATGTCATTAGATGTAATTTCATCTCTTCTTTTAAACAATGAAAACCGCAACTCTCTATCTAGTTTCAAGCAAAAGTTATTCAAAAAATACTCACACTTTTTCTTTTTTCATATGGGTATTAATATTTAAGTTGTACAAACTAAAGCCTCTCTATAAATAAGTTGAAAATGATTCATCTGTAAAACGAGCAACTATTATTTATCAGTGATATTATCAAAATGAATATTTTTTTATCAGATGTCAGATGGTATCTATAAAGTATAAATTAGTTGGAGAAAATGTTTACAAAAATCAAAATTTATTTTTATCATTCTCTGAATAAATTCAAATTCATTGTAAATAGACAATCAAATTCTTTATCTATTCTTTTTATTTAGGCTATATCGTTTCTGAGCTGAAATATTAATTACAGATTTTCTTATTTTAACAAATAATTTCTCAACTGAATTTCGAAAACTTGTTCGTATTAGTCATATTCGTCAAAATAAAGAAGAACCATCTGTATGTCGTCTTTTTTACTATTCTCCTATTCAATTTCAAACAGAAGATGTGACTGAGAATAATTTTCAACATGCATTTGATTATTCAAAAAATTTAGCAAAAACATATAATCAGACTTTCGAAGAAATAGTTGTTCTCCCTAAAACAAACAATCAAGAAGCAATACGACGCTTAATGTTCAGACTTTTTATATGCAATTCTTCGAACATATGGATATATTGATTCAATTAATACAATATATGAAGGTTATAATACGTTAAAAATGTATGATATTGTTTTGAGAACTGATATTAGTAAAAAAAAAAAAGACGATTTATTAAATGTTGAAATGTAAAAAAACAAAAACGAGAATTTTGTTTAGATGTTTTTATTTATTATCACTTCGCAAAAGAAATCCCACAAAATTGTACTTTATTAACAGGCGGTGGATTTCATGAAAGATGCTCCGCTGACAGATACTCCCACGAGAGTTGCTCCACAACGGTACTTAACAGAGTTCTTATTGATTATAAGAACAACATATAGGAGTGTGCGTGTCTGTGTAATTAAGACCATCAGAAACATCCCCAATCTAAAATCCCAACATACCCATAATCACATCCACTCCCAACCACAGAGGCGAAGTATTTTTGTCTGATAAATATTTTTTTTGTCAGATATTTAAAGATATGAATTGATAACTATTTATGTTTGGAAAAACAACAAATTTTATTGTGCTGTTTTTCTATATGAATAAAATCTTATTCAAATAATAATTAATTAAAAAATTCCAAATTTCATTTTTTTAATTCAAAGGAGTTCTGTTGTTTTACTGCTCTATGGTCAACATTTAACAATAAATAATTTAGTTGGTCGAAATCAAATTCTAATTAAAATTGGTGCCGATCTTCTTGATCGATCAATCAACAGCCGACGCTAATTCGCAATATGTTCAAAAACGTATTCGTTTTCATCTTCATTGTTGGAATAGAAAGAATCCTTTTTCTAAATTTGCTTTTAAACTTGATCATTGTAAACAGTCGGTATTGGTTTTTTCTATTCGTGGCAATGCAGATGACACTTGCATCCCAATATGTAACACTTAACTAGAACCTTTTCATAAAATATTAATAAAAAAGAAAAATACCTTAAAAAAACCTAATTGAATAAATATTTGTATACCAATTTAGGCGCTTTAATGGTTTGTGTTTCTTTCTATTGTAATTTCTATATCTTTTATAAATAAAACAAAGCCAGAATAATAAATGCTAAAGTGATATTTATTGGTCACTGTATGTGTATGAACAAATGCACTCATTATGGATGATACGAAATATCAACATTCTTCTGGAGAGAAAAGAATTAAATAATAACATTCTTTGTTTTATATAGCCTTCATTTTCAGACTTATCTATCATCCATTATCAACAAGATATATAGAACAGCTCGTCTTCCTCATATGTTTGCTACTATAATTTTACTATTATCATTAGCATTAGACACAAAAATATTACACTAAATAGTAAAACTATCGCACCAATATCGGTTTTATATTATTATAAGAATGTTTTTCAATCTGAATATAAACTTCGATATAATCTTATTAATGTACAACGAATCCTTTTTCTTTTAATCCGTTTTCTCATCAACGGTTTATTATATTCTTTGAGCAAAAGTTTACAATGTAATGCAACTGTCGTCAATTTTTTTCAAAATTGTACATTCATAACCGACACATTAGTCAATACTATTCAATAGTTGTTATTCTTATGGCAGAATAACCAATAAATGAGTACTCATTTTAATAAGAATGAGTTTTTCGAATCAAGAAAAGATATTTTTATTATTTGCTGATGATAAGTAGTAGAAACCTATATAATATTGCTACGTCATTGAAACTATTTAAGTAAATGTGATGGACAAATCTTTTTTTTATTACAGATCGACCTGACAAGGATGGCGTGCGCAGTTGAATGATATATAACACCTTGGTATTATATACACCACCTAAGTAAATAAAAAACTTATTTGAATTGCATTGATCTTTAGGTAAGAGTAGGATTAGTATTTTTTCTTCATATGATGTGAGAGGCGTGTTTAAGCTGGTATAATTGATTTCTTTCCTTTCTTTGTTTTTAGTGTTTTCAGTTGAAAAATTAAAGAATGATTTTGAATGTTTCAAACAAACGAAATATTTACTACTGGTATTATAGAATTTAATAATAAAAATCAATATTTTTTTTATTTATTATTATGTAAGTTTATTCGAAAGCTTTATCATTATGAAACCTACGGTCGTTTCGATAAGTTATCCAAGATAGGATCGGTTCGACTCCAGAAAAGAATACGAATCAATTGTATCTGAAACTGATACTCTAATACATTCGTTAATGTATTATAAGTTTCGAACCAGTTTGGTTCGCTTTCAAAAAAAAGCATGAATTAATCCTATCTCTGTTAGTTATTGATAAATATTAGTTCCAAGGAAGTAAAATCGAATTGATATATTTGAAATAAAATATCCATGAAATTTCATATGAGTAGTCTTAATACAAGAAAAAAAAAGGCCTTATTGAGATTAAGAAACCTAAAGTGAGCTTTTGTTTGTTCTTAATAATAGATTTTTGCTAGTTGTCGAAAGTTATTTCGGATAAAATTTTCGTTGTGGACAACGGATAGAAAGAGTTTTTGCCTTAATGTCAAAGCTAGAAACAGAAGACTGTTTCAAAATAAAACTTTTGTTCAGAAATATTAATAACATGTAATGTGTCTAGAGTCTATCCATATATCATAAAGACAAAACTGTTTGAAAACTTCTCAGTCCACTTCTTCAAAGGATAAATTCATGAGTATTGAATTGCTTTTCTAGAAATATGTTTTTTTTATTCGCTTTTATCATGTTAGTTAGATGCGAAATGATCATAAAATAGCTTATGTCAAAAAAATTTCTCTACTGTTGTCTGAAATAGTAAAGATTTGGAGTAGCTTCTAATGAATGTCTCACAAAACAAAATCTCAAACTTCTGAGCTTTTATGTTATTCATAAGTAGAGAATATTTAAAATAGTATAATCTCCAAAAGATTCTTCTTTTTATGGAGATTTAACCAAGATAAAAATACTTAAAAACACAGAATTTTTGAGTATTTCTATAGAAATACCGTATTTTGAAAAATTCATAGTTCAGTCAAATCTCAACAAAAAGAAGAATTGTTTGAAGATTGTTCTAGCTTACATGTCCTCTATTTACAGATAAAACATAAACTCAAAAGCTTAATATTATTGATAGGACATTCATTAGACACTTAGACAATACCCAATTCTCTGTGATTCTGGGCGATACTCAACAAAATCTTTTGTTCAACGGTGTTTTTTTTTCAATAATTTCCTATGTAACTTGCGCGACAAATGCCGATAAGAAAACTTTTTTAAAATAACAACCGTTAAATACTCCTGGATTCATCCAAAAGTCTTTATCAAATTAAGTACTTTTCATTATTTTCGTGAACATTTCTTTTTGCAGGTACTCATTGCTCGATGTTATTGAAAGTCTTATCACATATACGTTATTATTATATCATATTTTTTCTGATCTTTATTACTTTAACAAGTATTTATATCAGTTTTGAACACTATTCGTATGTTAATCCAATAATAAAGGTAAAAAAATGTGTTTTTTTTTAAATATCATTTGTAAGTTCTATTTTATGTAGTCAAATAACTACTTTGTTCAACAACAATCATCAATAATAAATTCTTCATCCATACAACGAGCTATTCTAGTTTTTTATCCATCAAGTCAAGAAATACATTATTTGCCTGAAATTCGATGGTTATACAGATCATGGATTGAAATGATTAAATATGAATCAAATCAATGGCGAACAGATTTCATCATATTTACTGAACAATATTCATCATTATTTCTACAACTTGGTTGTTTACCTAATAAAATACGCACAAATGATGAAGAACAACCAAAATGTCGAGTATTTATTTATCTTCGTTTATCAGCTCGTCATATAAATTCTTTAACTAAACAACAAACAATATTAAAAAATGATAGTGAAAAAAATTTATTTAATATTGCTATTCCACGTTCAATTTTATTGTATAATCATTTTAAAAAGTATCAATATATTGATTCTGTAAATATTATTGCAGAAGGTTATCCAATATATTCATACTATGATTTTATTCTTAAAACTGATCTTGATGTTTTTATAACAAAAAAATTTGCTAATTATATACCAAGTACACTGAACACATTATTGGTTGGTCATGGAGGATATTCAACAGAATTTAATACACGTCGTCTTGGACGTATTGCTAGAGATATGGGTTGGAAATATCAAAATTTGACAAATATTGGATCAACATGGTTAGTTCGTGTTACTTTAGTGATATGATAGTGTGATCTATTTATAGTTGTGAAAGACTTCAAAAATCTGCTTTTTATCTAAGTATCCACTATTTAAAATTAGACAGTTAGAATTGATTATCATATGCAATGCTGAAACAGTAAAAATAAAAGAGTTGATACATTAGCAATATGTTTGTTTTTTTAATTGTAGCCAAATGTATAAGACTCATATCGCTTTTAAATACTTCAATCTATCGAGAAACCCATGAAATATTTTAAAGGATATGAACAAACACTGAAAAATCACGTGTTATTTTTAGAAAAGAGTAATATTATCGAAATAACCCCTTGTCATATTCTGTCATGAACTATGAAGAGTGTGAATCTAGCTTTCTTGTTATCACCAGATTGTCATAATTGAACGGTTACGCTGATCGCTTTCCATTTAAACTTTGTCGTCGATAAATTGATAAATAATCTTAAGGAAGTCATATACGACTAATGTCTCGAGGTACTTATCCAACAGGACATTCAATACATCCCTTGATTGAAAGATGGAGAAAGAGTGTAACTCGATATCAGTGACGAAACAATTGTTGACGGCATCTGTTCCTAATCAAATCATTGTGATTGTCTTAGAATTACTGTTAAAGTCCTTTTTTTTACTTTTGAAATCAATGATCCTTATATACAAAACGATTATTTTTCGAATTAGCGATCAATCTATCGAGTTCCATTAGTATCTGAATACTTATTGATTTCTCTATGTTGTTCTTCAAGGTATGGATCACCATACGTTGCTCAGCGCATAGCAAACTTAACATTAGATGCTATGCTTCATTTATCTATCAATGAGTTTTGTGCTGCTGAACGAGAACAAAAACTTTCAACTTTATTATGGCCTGATTGGCATTATGGCGTATTAAGTATGTATGGCACTCACTTAGCAGTCAATCACTTAGTATATTCAGAAAAGCTTGATATACAAAATGGGTCCGAATTATTAGATCAATCAACAACAAATAAGGATCAAAATGATATAGAAAAAAATAATCGTTTACATCTACATTGTTGGCATACATATTTACCATTTTCAAAATTTCAATTTAAAGAAAATAAATATAATCATATACCGCCACATATACTGATTAATGATAGTTCATCTCAAAGCTATGTGAGTTAGATATAATTAGCAAATGTTAATTGATTAATTTATTGTAGGCTATGCGAATGGCATTAGAATCTCGATTAATGACACTCGAGGAACTTGGTCAGCAACTACGTGATATTAGTCGGAATAAAACGAATTCAAGTGTTTTCATTACTCAAGCGAATATTTTCACGGCATCTCCTATACAATAGATTTTTATTCGCTTTTTCACAATAAAGGATTAACTTTTATGTACCATATGTACTAATCGTAAGTTTTGAATAGAAGAAGCTCTCAATTACCATAGAAATAACAGATACGAGAGAGATGAAAAATTCAGCTCAAGATCGATGGAACAAAGAGATCTGAGGTATAACTGAAAATATCTATGTCACATGTTTTGTAATGCGGTTATTCGTATGTTTTTCGTTTCCTTAAGCGAATCTCTATCCCTTTGCAGCACCTTTGAATAATAGTTCATCAGAAAGTTTAAAGCTTTCGTGGTAGATTCATCTCAATGAGTACAACAAGTTGTCATAATACTGAATTTCCAAATGCTTTCATTTTCTCAGCTGCAATACATTTGAGAGAGTTGACATTTTGAGTGTGACTGTCCGTGCACGTGATTTTAAGAATAAATATGTGGTGCGAATATGAAAGTGGACTTTGGCATGAACGAAGGAAATAACTACATCCATTCTGAGAATCCTAATTAAAAATATTCTAAAATGTCATGAAAGAGTCATGTTATTATATAATAAGTCAACGATGTATTATAATTTCGTTCTCAGTTGTTTTCAAATCATTTTAAAAGTTTGTGATGATTTTTGCGTTGCGAAAATTAAATCAATTGCGCCGGTCGTTTCCAAGAAACTGTTGCCTGTTTCTGAAGTTAGAATGGCAGAAATAATTTGATTAATGGAATTAAAATAAATTAATTTCTTCCTTACTTAAATAGGTTAGAATATTCTAAAAATGGTTTTTGAATGTTTTCAGTATGGTCTTGTTTCATCGATGAATTTCTTGAATCCTATATGAAATGCATACAGTTTTTGATCTTGGTTTAAAATTTGTACATTTTCAAAAACCTATAGAATAACTTGTATTTTTCATGTTTTTGCTCAAAATAGAAATAGTTTTATACTAATATGTGTCTTTTTCATTTTGTTGAAGATGGTATTGAGGTTTAGTTTATTTAAAAATTAGTCTATTGTTTAGAGGTCATCAGGTCCAAAAATTTTTGAACCCGGATCCGGTCGGTGACATTTTTCCGGACCCAAGCCTGAACCCGTACCCGCTAGAGAATTTTTTGAACTCAAAGCTCAGGGGTCAATTTTTTATAGGTTCGAATTTTAGTCGAACTCGTAAAACTGTGTTCAATTTTCTAATATAAATCTGAGTGTTGCTCGAGGATATGTGATACGTTTGATTTGTTTTTTCTTGTTCCATGGATAGCATTGTCTACATTTTGTTTAAACAGTCAGATACCGCAGCCGTAGAAATAAAATTACAATTGGTTCTCATCTCAGGTCAATAGCTTCTGATGGAAGAAACAATGCGTATAAAACAAGTGATGATCATGATTATTGTTTGAATATTATTGAAAGTATAGACAATAGTGAAGAACCAGATAATATTTGATCTGATTTATAGATTTATGATTGCAACTATGTTTACATATTATAGTCAGGAAGAACTTTATTGTTTTTTTCTAGTTTTTCAAAATCAATTCAATATTTTTGGAGTAAGATGAACAAGAATTTAAAGAAATTTCAAAAAAATTTCTAATACGAATCTAATTTTTTTTCGATGCGGAACTGACCAATAAAAATCCTCGGACCCGGCCCAGATCCGATCGGGCCTGGGTCGGATCCGGGTAGAACCCAACGGACTCTGCTATTGTTGGAAAATACATCCTGAATTGTAATTTTATTTTGAATATGAGCATTGTTGATATGTTTTTTTCCTTGATTGATTCTTTTGCTAGTATAAATAAGTGAAAAATACTTTGAAAGACATATTGCACCATTTTGTAACATCTTTGTCATGTTCATATATAGACTTCTTCATATATGTCGTATGGTTTCTTCCATGTAAGCTTTGTTGCAATCATTGCAGGTTATTTGACATACGGTGCCTGATTGCTGGTAAAAAGTAAGACGAGCTTTTGCTGAAAAGAAGCATTTCATTGGATTTGCTATTTCATAGATAACTCTAAGATCTGATGTTGGATTCTTTTTAATGATGATTAATTCGACTCTATTCGCAAATGTGTAATAAGGTTGGGTAATATATGGTACTTCAAAGTATTTGCGTTTTTTATTTTGGTTTTCTGCACCTTTCAATTTATTTAATCTGTCTCATTGCTTATATATTATTTGTTCAATGAAGCTTGAAGAATAGCTATTGAAATTTGCCATTATATGAATACACGAAAATTCATCATGTACTAAGTCAAATATTGAATATATTTGAGTTACTCAACTTACTCATACGATCATGAACACCGTTTTGTAAGCTGTAGGAACGAAACAGTTTCATTTTAACATTAGGTGGGTTGTTGTTTTCTTCCTAAAGATTGTTGTATCGAAATTCTATCACATATTGGTTTGATAATGGCACCCAGAAACTTATCTTATCGGCAGATATTTGGGTAAATACATGACACTCTAAGTTTGAGAGGTAAATTAACTTTAGGAACTTTGTGTAGGCCGTATAGTCTTGCTGATATGTTTGTTAAATATCCTTTATTTTTTATTTTTAATGCAAAAGCAGCGAATGTGTTTTTATAAGAGACAGTACAATCTTGATTTAACAGTATTACCTTTATCAGACTTAGTAATTAAAATAGATAATGTCTTGATAAATTTAATAATATTTTGTTATCGGTATTTTCCATACAAGTTTTTATTTCTTCTCGTTTTGATAGGCATGTGAGCATGGTAAAAGAATCTCTCTGTTGTATTATCTTAATCTTCTTTAAGAGATATTTGTTTTGGTTCTATAACTCGAAGTTTTTTGTTGGAAATATTGTAGGAATATTCATCTTATTTTTTAAAATCCATGACTTCTTTTTTGAATGCTAGAGGCATGATGGAATAAACAGTCGATACTGCAAATTATTTTAAAGCGATTAATTGTACTCAGATGATTGTAAAATAATCCTTTTTATAATACATAAAGTTCGTTTTTAGTTAAATGATGACTCAATAAAATCCATGCGGATTTTTACTCAGTTTTTGTGATTTTCAAGAATTTTGTTTATGATCTCGTTCGTTGGGTTGGTATTTTGACATGTATCTTTCCAATTTTCTGCTTCATTATTACTGTTGTCTAATTTTAATTAATATCTGTAATTTGCTACAATATTTCAATATTTAGCACTCTACTCTTCAGACTGAATTAGGGCAACAATACGGTTGATTTTGATCACGATTATAAGGGATAGGATATTTGGTAAAGCATTATATGCATATCTTCTTAACGTAGATAAGTGTTTTTTGACTTTATTTCTTCTTTCAAGAGAATACATTGACATTTCTCATATACTTTTGAGGAAAATAACACAGGATTTGAAATTTTGACTTGAAGAAATGTTGACATAAGATTGTTTCGTTTATATTTATATGAGTACTTCAAGCAATGTATGAGACGTACTCATTTAATCGTAATTTTCTCACAATATTGATATTTTTTCAAGGTATGATTGCCGCTAAGGACAGAACGTTGCAGAATCGTTTAAGTGTAATGTTACTATTGAAGACATCGTTCATGCAAAGTTCACGACTATTACAATGGTAGTAGGGTGAAATGAATATTAATGGTACCTGAAGTAAATAAGTCTTTTGATTGAACATTTTTGATGAGTTAGCGAATTGTTTGTTAAAAATGTTGAAACATATAACAATACAATAAACATTAAAGGTAATATGTAATAATGATGAGCAACGAATTTTAAAACGAAATATTCTTTTTTTTACCAAACTTTCAGTTGTGTACTGGGATATATTGCTTTTATTATTAATCTCGATGGTGGGCAGAACGTTCTTATATAATCAAAATTTATCATATAGTGCAGTAAACAGAAAAGGATGGAACGTCAGCCTTTCATTGAATCTGACCCTGTACTTTTTGTTTATTGAGCTTTCAGCTTTTTGTGACATAAAAAAGTTAAAAGATAAACTTTTACTTTAATAGAAAATAACTTCAGTCTTCAATAATAGCTAAACTGATCACAACGAACCGTTGTGAAATCTGTATTAATCTCATGCAAAACTTGATGAGGAGTAAATAATGCTTCCATATGTGGGCTGAAAGAAGTATTATTAACGAGCAAGAATGAAACATGTGAGTGATATTGTAATAGAATAAAACTTGAGAAGCCATTTACTAATCAAAATTCAACGGTAGAGGTCCCTATATGACAAGCAATGATTGACAACTATATTCATCAAATAAAATAAATACCTTATTTTAATTGAATTTTACTATTTATGTATTTCGAAAATATTCAAGCATCTATTTTCGTCCAAATGGAACGCGTTTGGTTTCGGTTTCGAAAAAAAAAACCATCAGCTATGTTCCAATGGATGTTTTCTCATTTATTATTCTTGGTCATAGTGTTGTCAACCAACTATAAGACACATTTTTAATCATCGATCCGTAGACTCGAGTAGCATGATCTATATTCGTCAATGCTATCTTTCACTCTAGACGAGTCATTAGCAGGTAGTGCTTGTCACTAATATGAGTCTAACATCGGCTGGGTATGAGTGTGGGTAAAGAGAAGACCTACACGCAATAATCACGGTCATGATGCGTCTAGACTCTAGACCAGTCGTATCGATCAGCAAAGAATGTTAGACGATGGTTCGTCCCATGTTTCAGATGCATCTACCAAATTGTTCGTCTAGCTGTCCATACTGACTGGTAGACAGTGCCGACTTTATCAGAATCTGACAGAAAATTAACAAGTTTTAGAAAAAACCTAGCATATCGTGCATGATTCTAAGCGAGATTTATCAGTCAGTTCGAAATTTCGACCAAATTATGTCAGACAATCGATAATAGAGTTCTTAACAAGTATCTGCAAAAAAATCCAATGCTACCTGTCAAATTTCAACTCGTTCTGCCTTTGAAAACGATGGAGAAACTCGGGATAGACTAACAGTATTGACTGTAAGCATAAAGAAAATGTTATTTGTTGCTGAAT